GATGAAAACGGTTCGACATGTACTGTTTTGGACTTCTTGAAAGGAAAAGGAACCTGTAGCGAGTGATGCGGTGAGCCCACACCATGCTATCATCATTGGCTGATGGAAACGGATTTCCAGAATCGCATGTTGGTTCTCCTACGCCCAAACGTTGCAGTTGTGTGCACGGACACTTCAATTAAGTAAAACGTGAGCCTCGTCAATCCGCGGGATATATGGCAGCCAGTACGCATGGTTTTTCATGCGTTAAAAAGCCCACTTTGCTCATTCATGACGTCTTTCGAGATCGCTTGGTATCATTTACTGTATATGTTGGCTTTTGTAAGACTACATCTTGAATATGATCCTAAGTGCGTGTCTCAATTCCGGATGAAATACCAAATTACTAAGAGCACTACAACGCCGTCTTTGAATATGTAACTATTATGGTATAGACATTAGGATTTTTGTTGCTGAGAGATATGAAAAATGAGCAGTGCCCTCGCCAGGACTCGAACTTCGGACCTCTCAAATACGCACCGAGTGTGCTGACCACTACACCACAAAGGTATTCTAAGAAGACGGGAGAAATACTTTATAATGGCATAAAATATTTCATTATTAAAGAAAACTCATGCGTTCCTGCGCATTGTGCAATAGCACAATAACTATACGCATTAAAGAGCAAAGAAAGACATTTTTTATCTATATGAAATTATGCCCACAGTTACTCTAGAACTGAATTTACAAAGGATTAGAAAACCAAGGCCAATGGGTAAATAGCGACATACCAGAAAGTACGGAAAGCACACATCGTATATCAAGACCTGAGGCTAATAGTGACAACAAAGTACAGCTGTGCGAAACAGTACGAACAAGGATGTCTTGATACAAAATTTAAAGTTACCTGAGCAAATAAGCAAGTCTTAGAAAAGTTGTACTGTTGGTTTGAAAGAGACCATTGGGTCCAGTTGCTCTATTTATCAACCCAAGGATAGAAGCTACGAAACAATGCACAATGCAATGTTGTTAATTCTAGTAGTTGGTGGAAGGCATAGTCTAGTTACATCCCTAATCTATGACTATACGCTGCAACGATCGAAACAGTTATCAGAAGACCTAAGAAAAAGCATTCAAAACTATGTCCTACGATATCTATATATCCTTGGTAGCCCACCGTACCATCTTCATAGCAGCACAGTATGTCAATCACAATCTGTGAACACCTTTATTATCATTTTTACGATAGCCTCTTTACACCCTTTGCCCATCCCAAAATGGTGTCAGAATAGTCGACCAGCTCATTCAAATCTGGCATGCTATACCTCATGAAAGAACCGCGAATCATATACGTCTATAAGGCACCAGATAACCACTTTTATCCACATCACAGATTGCAGTACTATATAATAATAAGCTCTATTTGTATAGTTGTTTTATCTGATTTCTGATTTAATGATACTTTTTCTTACTCATATACGCTTCACCTATAAGTATCCTTTTTCCCTGGCACGCTTTCTCCTTTCGCTCGTTTAAAAGAGTATACGATATGCTTTTCAATGAATAAAATTTCTTAGTTTTTAATAGTTAATACCAAGTTGGGAATGCCTTATTAATATGGTCTATAGGGGAGGTGATAATTCTTTAAATTATATAAACCTTGTAGAATTCCTCACTTTGTAAATGCTAAGTTACAGCTAAACGTAAAGAATCTTAAGAACTGATAAGCGAATAATCGCTTGAGATCTTGCAACAAGATGAGGTATATAACCCTTTATTATTCAGATAAGATTTAACAGAACTCCGTCTTGGAGTATACAATAAAAGCCCGACACTTAGGCTTAAGAGGCTAAGAATTAAACTAAAACTAACCTAAACTAAAGAGATATAGCCGAAGCTATCAAGATTCTAACCAAGTTGGCCCCTTAACGCTAATTGACTGCGAAGCTATCAAGGGCCTAAGTACGGCCGAGCGTAATAATAGCTTACGAGAGAGAAGACTAAAAAGGCGGACGCGTGTAGACAGAATACCTGGTAACTCTCTCGCTAAAACCGAAGAACTTCGCGGTTTAAATACCGCTCCTCCTCTCCTCCTCATTATATATTCAGGCGTGAATCTAAAACTACGTTCTGGCCGGAAATAGTAAGTTGAAGTTAAGAATCGATAGGAAAGGAACTTAAAATTTAACTGTTAATAAAATTAACATAATTCTTACAACTTATTAGTATATCTATCTTTATACTAATTAATTTTAGGTAATTGAATTTAATAAAATTAACATAGTTCTTACAACCTTTTTATTACACATGTACACGCATTTCATTTTTCAATGATGCAAAAAATATGCATCAAAAAGTTGTTGGAATGCATAAGAAACCTCGAACTCGTTAGCGAATAAGAAAACTCGTTAAGATTTGTAGCTATCGAAGGAGTAAATATGATTTATATGACGATTAGCTTTTCTATGAGAAAAACGAAAACTGTTGTGAGACACGAACTCTCACTATCCCTCCGTCTTCACTTGCTGAATAAGAGCATGTATTTACATGCTTTAAGCGTTGATAATAGAATGGGTAATTTTATAGTATTACTAGATCTGTCGCATATTATTTAACTTATAACTAGCTTTGTTCCATAACAGAAATGGGGGCTTAGGTAAAAAAAAAAAAATGTTTCAGTTCACAATTTTTAACTCGGAATGTTATTGACGAAACTCAGTAAGTATTTCAGAAGGAATTTTCAAATTTTCCCATCATCTACTAATTTATTTTTGCGTTCCACCTAAATTACTTCATGAAGCTAATTAATAGTATCTTCTTAAAATCGATTTAAAACTGCATTTTTTTCAAAAGGTAAGCATAGTGTGTAGCAGTATTTTAAATAACATCCATAAATATTTTTGTCCATCCTTCTTCGTATAAAAATGCACATATTTACGGACAATAAATTCTTAAGTATAAATAAAATTCGTTTCGTTGAATAATTAGTCCAAAGAAAAAAATATTTCTTTGCATTAATTATTTTTGAAAATTTTGATTCAAAAATCCAACTTTATTAAAACGATACTAGAGTCAAATAAAGGAACTAACACGCTTCGGTCACAACAAAAATTGTATTTCTTTACTTGATTCAATATTTCAATTTTTATTATTTGTTTTAGAGTCTCTTTCGTGCTCCTAATATTCGGCGAAACTAAAAGTACTATATGGTTGTTCTTATCCTAAGCACAAAATAGCATAAAATGTTAATCGAGTAGAGCTCACTATAAATACTATTTGCTCTGATGTTCAAAATTAATCTGGGAAAGAGCAGTCGCGAGCAGTAGCTTATATCCGAAACCTGCTGACTGCTAAGAATGTTAAAGTAATTTTTATATAGAAACGCATATTTTAATTAAATATTATTACTATACAATATAACTCCTACCAGTGGCCAAGCGGTAAAGTCCCTGAGCACTGGTAGTTCGGTCCGGAGCTCGAATTCCGGCGAACACTCCGGCTGCATGGACGTTTTCGTGGCTTTCCTCATGTTTCATGTTTTCCTCATGTAAGAAGTATAGGAGCCAGTTCCCCTTAGAAAGTTCTCCCCGAAGGCACCCCTTCCCTAAGGCAGATAGCCCTTGAGTTCTTTTCCTCAATCAAATAAGAAAAACAAAACAAACTATATAGAAAAGAGAGAAGAAGATCTCTTTTTAAATTTGCTAATCATATACCCTATGTTCGAGACACAATATTAAGTTATTTTTCTTTGATATATAATTTTATATATTTTACATTTAGAATTTTATATATTATGAAATTCTAAAACAAGCTGAAGCAAAATCCTTATTACGTAGTGTGTTCTAATGCCCCTTTAACTCTAAAATTGAATGAATTACGCAGTACATAAAAAGAATAATTTTCATTCTTGGTAACTAGCTTAGAATGTTAACTAGACAATAAAAACAGCAATCGTAGCATTCTTTCTATGCCAAGACTTGTGCTTATGAAACACCTGGAATAGAGAGTGTATAAGTATAACCTATAAATTGTAGAAGGCCTAGAAACCAACATAAACCTACAATGTAGAAAATTAGAAGCATTTCAGGATACTGTGCATGCGATCCTGCGATGGATATCTTCCAACATTAACTTAATAATTGTTATATTAACCTGCTAACTATATGTATTTTGTATTCTATACATCTTATATATATTGAGTAGTAAGGTTTACGCAGAGTGTTATCACAGTGTTTTAAGATGTTCTTTGCTGGTATCACAATCAGACAGCAAATGCTCCAAGTGTTGCCCACACTGCAGGATTCGAAGAACTTCGCATCAATCTTGAAAGCCAACGATCATAGCATTTCAAGCAGAATTTCCTAAATTTGCGTTATTTCGCAACTGCAAGTTTTATGTTGACTGCTTAATCTTCTCTAGTTATTTGATTAGCCCTGCACAGCTCTTTTCTTTAAGTGGGTCAACAGGCAGAAAAAAAGTAATTCAGGTATAATAAGATAAAAAAAAAAAAGATCTCAGCAATCACTGTTCTTTCGAAATGAAGCGCAGGATTGCAGCTGAGATTGACGATTAAAAATTCTAAGCTATCCATTTAATTATGAAAATAATTCGTTTCCTATATGTATTACAGTTCATTTTTGAACCTAGGGTAGCCTGATTAATGAATGCCCTGTATTCTGTCTAAATAGGTTGTGTATTTGCTTATTGTTGATTGAGCATCATCGTTGCATTTTTATTGGCAAACAATAGCAAATTTGCAAATGCAAATAACTAATGAAGCGAGAGATAAATTAATTGTGAAATGTTCATTACTTTTTAAATTATGATTTTATTAATTCTTAGTTTTGTTTGATTATTGGCTATTATGAACTTAATTGCGGCTACAAGCAAAGCGCATAATAAAATACCTTTGACAGCTGTCACTAAAGTTCATTTTCATAAGTATTTCATTAATGCAGAAATTCTACTTGTGGGTATTTTGAACTAAAATTGCCATACGTGAATAAAACTGAAGCAATGACCTGGAATTAAAGGACACTTTTCCATTCGAGAATATTCTTGCAAAACGATTGGGCCGCTGAACATGATGAAATGATCCTTCTCTTTCATTGAAGAACAAGTCGGGCGTCCATATCTTAGAAATAGGGTTGAGTGGAATACTTTGCACGATGCCCTCTGGATCAGGATATCGCAGTCGAGGATCTTCCCAGATTTCTCTTAAGTACATCTGAATTGTAAAATCCTGAAAAGAGCAAAATGATTTGTTGTGTTTAATTTATTGTGACATTTCTGAGAAGCAACTGTTACTATTTAGTTCTAGAGCATATTATCTCAGATACACTCTACTTAAGTATAAAGAAACCAAATGATTGTTCAAACCACTTTTGACAAGTGATACTATGAAATTTTTGAGAAAACTTTCTGTTCTCCCGTATACTTTTCATTCAGAATTTTCTAATTTCTGAGTAGATACGATTAGCGTGATAATTTGCACGTAACATACATAATTTATATTCTAAACAATATTTTGTATTACAATCTAACGGTATAAAAACTGACGGCGAGTATAGTACGTAGTGCTGCAAGAAAGAGGAGTTATGGAGTATGATCCAAGAAACTTCTTTGGATCTAATCCGTGAAGAAGGTGGGTAGTAAATAGATCCATTAGGAAAAAACTCGTATTTCTCTATTCTTCCACGGAATATTTATAAAAAAACCGTTGTCTTCGCATAAGAATTCGTTTCTGAGAGTATTTTTGGGTTAAACTGTGGAATGATTAAATATATTGAACGTTAATCATCGCTCTATTCGGCATGCTGATTAGCCCTGCCAAATGTCATATGACTGGATTAGGCATGGAATCCCACAGAAGGCTGTAACGTTACAGTGTCTTTGCAGCATAGTAGTGTTTAAAATATGATCGAACTGAAAGTTCTTTCGAAAGGATGATGGTAGGCATAGTATATCATTGGATTCTAGAGATGGGCAAAACCGCTCCTCTAAGGGATCAGATCGGAACCGTTCGCTCACTGAAGTGAATCAGTTCTTTTTAACGATTCACAGCTCACTAGCAATGACCTTGATGAATGCGTTCGGAACAGGCATGGATCAAGAGTGGTGTGCAAAGATAGGGAAAAGCTGAAAGAATTGAGTGGATTTCCTAGAATCAACTCACCCAAACCGCTCAATTCCTGGACTGATTTCTTTCAGCTGTACTTTTGAGTTTCCCTAAAAAAATTCTACATGGAACAAGAATAAACTCTGGAACAAAAAACGGCTAAAAGTTAAAAAATAATGAAAACTAAATTCACTTTTGTTAAATATTACAATATTTAATTACTATAATTGATATTTTGTCGCTACTACAAAACACAGTGTAAAAATAATTTTTTTAATTGGAGGCAGCTTGCAAAGAACAGAAAATTGTCTGCTGACAATTCCTGTTCGGTAATACCTATACACATAGCTATACTATGACTTAGTATTCAAAGAATCGAAATGAAAGTCAAAGGAACAGCTCCGAGGAAGCGAAAAGAGCAAATAATCAAGACTTCGCAGGAACCATATTTGTGAATAATGAAGACTCCGTCGGAGTCAGATCCGCAACTAGAGCAGAAACGTGCGAATAATCACGGCTCCGAAAGACCCAGATCTGCGACTAGTGACGGAGCGCTGACAGCTGGCAATCCCAGTTCCTATAATCTACAGATTTTAAACAGGTCCCCGAACTGCCAGATGGGAAAAAATGCCATTCATTTGCAAATAGGGATGATCAGTTTCCCTGAGATGCGTCGGTTTATTTAATGTTTTGTTTTTTAAAAGCTAGATGGAATACAAGCAAGCCAAAAGCATACATATATACAAACAAAACACACACACATAAAAAATAGATCAGAGACGTTTCAGGAAAGACTATTATGCTTACATTAAGGATTCAAATTTTTGGCACGCTTCCCAACAACAGCTCTCGGTAAACTCTTAAAGAACTGTCGTGCCGTTTTCACCCACTTGCTGATCATTGGTTCAATAAAGTGAATCGGTTCCGGAGCGGACCATCCATCTCTATTGGATTCGTTCTCCAAAATGTTGAAAATCAAAATTGGAAAGCAGCTGGGAAAATTCATACTGTCGCTTATAAAGTGCTCAAGGCCTCGATCAACGATTGGAACAAATTTTTCTTCTTGGCCACAATAAATTCGTGAACCTGGTCTTGAGTAGGAGTATTAACAATAATAAAAAAAATAATTAGTTTATTTACTAAGTCATTGAATTCCCAGTTATAGTTTAAAATTTTAGGTATACTGAAGCCCTTAGCAATAAATTATTCATATAAAAAAAAGGTCTACTTTTCTCTTATTCAAAGATAAATGCAGAAAATAACCACCCAGTTTCACTGCAAGAGTAAAAAAAAAGGCGGACTAAATTAATTAGGCTTACAAAATCAAGAATCAGAAGAATGCGATTCATACTTTACTTTAAAATGCCGAACAATGTACACTTTTTAAAGAAAAGGTAAAATTTTAATTTAACACGTTTTTGAAAAAACTCCATGCAATGAAAATATTAGCTCTAATTATATCATCGTCCTGATGAATACCTTTAAATAATTTTAGATTTTTTACTTCATTTGCTACAGTAATCTGATATTATTGTGCGCAAATATATTTCTATTGTAAAAATACTACTTTTTCTTTTCTTTTAAAAAAAAGTAATTTATTTTCAATTGTTAAATAAATTCGTTATGCGTATATTTCACAGAATAATTGTCCCTCAGGTTTAAACTTATCATTATCATACTTTTATACGTAGTATTCAAAAATACTGATCTGCCGAAAACAATATTAATAGTTGAATGTTTAACTTGCAATGTTTACATTAAAGCGAGCGAAATTCTGAAATAGCGGACAATGTGCGTATCACAAGTGCAATGAGCATGTGCTTCAATAGACAATCAGGGAGACGGAGGATATTCAAAGGAAGACGTGATTAACTATTCTTATTAATAAAAAGTAAGTGAATTCTTTAAATATTGCGTAAAATCACTTTATTTATTACCAATTTTTTTAACCTGTAATTTGTTTCATTCAATTTTATGTATTCTTATATGTAATCTTTTGATGTTTTATATTCACGACTTATTTTGTTCGTAAATATTGATAAATGCATTGCTAATGGTAAAATGTTACTAACGAGCCTTAATATTCGACGTAGTTATGTATAAAAATGCGCTTACATAATTCAATACATCGTTGCATGAAAAATTATTTAAATGAAAGACTCAGCTAGTTGTTCTGTTTGAAGTAGATTTTGTAATCCTTTCAAAGTACAGTTGTGTGTATTGATACAAGAAAGCTTTTTTTTTTACTTGTAAATAAGTAACTATTGATCTCAGTTATATAAGCTCTCTCTCAGGCAATTTCGAATCACGTGAATTTTTTTACTTCAACATAAGGAAATGTTCCCATAGAATAATTTCTGCCTGAATAATTAACTTAACAAACGCTTAAAACACTTATGAAGTTTTTTTTATATTTCAATAAAATGCGGTACATGATTAATAAGCTTTAAATTGCAAAATACATTTTTTCAAATCAGCATGTTCTTACTACGTTATAGAAAAATTAATTAATTATCCGAAACACAGTCAAATTATTATTTCATAAAATATAAATTTATTTTTACATAGACATAATTTTATTGTTTCATTTTTTAAATGAATCCTTTTTAAACAGTTTTAAGCAGTTTAAATCTTCCGGTTTAGCCTGATGGTGTTAAATGGCTAAAACTCATCAGAAATTGTCCTATATATTTTATTTGCAATCATCATTGCATTTTCTAAAAAGATTTAAATGATTCAGAAAATTGTGATAAACTGTTTTTGTTATTTTATATCTATGCGAATTTCGGTAATACTACTAAAATGCAATAACATTCTGAAATGTTTACCCTTTTGCTATAAATTATAGTTGTTTATAACTGTTTCTACTTAAAAATACATGCCCTTTTTCATTAGAAACAGCACTCTAGAGTTAAATGGCATTGTTCATTTTTTATGGGTGACATATTGCCATTCAAGGAAAAACAAGTTACAAATTAAACAAAATAATGTGGTTTTTGTTAATATAGCTATATGGTATAAATTATATTGCGAAAATTGATTTTATAATTAATAAAAGGTGTTTCAGTGTAATGTTTTTATGCCCAGTACAGTATCTTCAGTCATTTCTTCTTCAAATTCTCTGAATATTTATATTTTGTTTACATTAAACACTCTCCAGCATGATCACCCATGATTTATGTTAAAATAGTACGCCGAACAATGATTATTGAAGAAGTTTAACAACAAGAATTAGTAATTCAGTTTGCACTTAGGCACCTAAGGAAGACGGTTCTTTTAAACTATCGAAACTTGTTCTGCAAAATATACAAATATTACGCGGATTCTTGCTGTTTGACTTCTCCAACAATCACCTATGGTTCCATATGACATTTGTCTTCTGGGAAAGCGGTCATTTTAGAGAAGTGATGTGTTTATTTTTGTTCTCTTAAATACCTTTCACCTTCAGAAATGTTCGACATGAGAGTTCTCTATATTTTAAAAATTTCTTATTCGTTATGTATGTGCTATTGTAATTTTCTAATTCCTAACCATAAAAGCATAGAATGTTTAGAAAACATTACATTCATAGAATAAAACGAAATGAGACACAAAGACATATTTCAAATAAAATAAAAGATTGCAGAGAGTCCTGGAAAATTAAGTCATCAAAGAAAAATTCAGAAAATGACTCTAAAAGATATCATTGATATCTTTGATTGATATCTTTTAGAGCTACATCAATTTTTTTTTTTTGAAATATTGTGTTAAATAAAAATGATAATTAAATCATTTTTATTTAACACAGTTATAAACACATTATTTATAAATGATAATTAAATTATACAGCTGTGTTAAATAAAAATGATAATTAAATCTTTCTTCAATATCTTATTTTTCATCTTAAAAAAGGCGGAGTCTTTTCTTCAATAACTTTGTTTTCATTTTAAAGCAGCGGTATTTAATTTCAAGGAAAAAAGTAAAATTTGACATGAAATATGTTTTGTGTATTTAGGCTTAAGGGATTCCTAATTTTTATATCTAATGAATAGTTAATCTACCTAGAGCTAAAACAGCAATTATCTTCAGGACTGATGCTAGTCTTTCTGCAGCTTTCCGGAATTTTGCTACTTACACCATTACATCGGTGCTTAATGCTGTATAGTTTCTACTTATGTTCAGATTTATGAATTGGAATTATCTTTGGTGAACAAATTTTTTATAACCTGTTCTCAATTATGTTTTTAATTGCATTATGGTGCAAAATATTTAAACCTTACCTGCATTTCAAACTTTCTGAATGCTGAACTTTAAATAAATTTATTAGTTTAAATTTATAAGATTTTTCCTGAAGCATTTCTAAAACAACTTATTCACTGTCAGGAAAAATGAATGTTTAAAATTACAGCAAATTTTCATTGTAAAGTTTTCTTCAAATATAGCACTGATGGTAAAAATAAGTTGTGAATAGTTAAGAAATGAATTAATTTTCCGTTTAATCATCTTTCACCTCCTTTGACCATAATTTTAAACCTAAATTTCTAAACCATCATTTCTGTGATTTTTTCATTGCTGCTTCTTCCCTGTGAAAAGTATGGGCAAATATAGAATATTAAATTTATTACAGAGTGAGAATAAATGTTTTTAAAAGATAGTTGCAGATCTTTCATATAATGCATAGCATTTATATCATTTTAAGAGATAATGTTTCCTCTAGCTTTTGATATTCCATTTGTTGGATAATATATGCGTGACTTTTGTTAACGAATATGGGGGATTTCACAAATATTTTGTGAAGTATATATTATATGAAGTGGACTTAAAGTGCTATTATTTAATTCTGACACTTAAGACGATTATTTGCATATATTATGAGGCCACAGTCCATGTAAATGCGTAAATAGTTACAGTTGCTAAATTTGGTCTCTGAAACTATTTGAGTGAGACATGAACATAATCGATATTCTTCTAAAGTCAGTATGTTTTGTAATCTAATGATAAAAAGATTTCTGATCTGGTAACAATTTCTGCTTTCTGATCTTTTTTTTTTTTTTTTTTTTTTTTTTTTTTTTCCCTGGCGACAAGATTTCTGATCCTTTTCCCTTTATAATAAATGTGTACTTGGATATACTGCAGGGTTTTTAAGACAATCCTTTCCTGTAAACTCTCGTTTTCGTACCAGAAAGAGTTTTCAGTATTACGCTTTATGTAAATAAGGTAGAAATTAGTATTTAAGCTGAGGTCTGAGTTACGTCAGTAGGACAACGTGTTCTGCCTTTCGGCTACGTTCTTGTTATTAGCTTAAGCTTGATATTCTACGGCCGTACTATTACGTGCTCGTTAGCTTACGCCGGTGATTCTTAGTTAAAGGCCAGCTATGCGAGATAGATTCTTTGCGGCTTCGGCTGATTTTTTTTAATCTAGTGTTAGTTAATTTTATATTTTATATTTTGAGTTAAAGTCCAAGTGGAGGCTTCTGGTACGCCCGAGAGGAGCTAACTTTTAATCTATTTTTCAGTTAGAATAAAAGGGTATTTTAACCCTTCTCTGGAGTTGTTACTTACGTACAAGAACTCAGCGATTATTTGCTACATAGTTCATAAGTGTTCAAAGCACTCAAAAGAATTCTAAACTGAAGTGTCACTGAATTAGGGCTAGAAAAGGCTATGAAAACTGTGTAGCGCTGCGCTGCATTTATGCTCACGTGTGGGCGGTGTAGTGACTGTAGATATAGCTATTGCTTCAGTTATTGTTAATCAGTCGTTTCAGTTACCAATATGGGTATAACCTCTGATTTAGACGCCTTCGATTGCGGTCAAATAGAAAGTGTTCAACGCATGGGACATTCAGTTTCCGAAGTCGTCACAGAGCTATGATTTCGAAGGTCGACAGTGTCAAAAGTATACCGAGAATACACGGATGGTGGGGGAAAAAACTAGTGACCGAGCAAACTTGCAAAGGATAATTAGCCTTGAACGAGCTTGTTGTCAGACGGCTCAGCCGTACTGTACGTAGCCACTGAAGCCAAACATTAGCTCAAATTACTACCCAGCTTATTCAGGGCACCTGTCGTACAGTTAGTAAACGGACCGTGAAACGCTCACTTTACCACCGCATGCTTCGAGAGCCGTAGACCCACGAGAGTACCAGTGTTCAATACAAACCATCGGGCTACACGTTCTGCTATGGACAGGAGAACACAGACAACAGACTATAGGAAACTGGAAACGAGTAGAATAGACTGATAAGTCTCAATTCCGACTACTTAACGCCAACGGAAAGCTGAAGATATGGCGTCAAGGCTAATGAAGCCGTCGATCCTGTATTCCAGGTTGGAACTATACAAGGCCATGGTAGCTCATTCATGGTCTGGGGAGTTTTCTCTCGGCAGTGTTTGGGATCTTTGGTACCTGTGCCAACCTCCCTCAATGCGATGCACTACGTAGAGCTGCAGGGAGATCCTCTTCCTCCATTTATGTTGTCATTTATACGGAAATGGAATATTCCAGAAAAATAACTCTACCTCTCACAAATGCCGGTTGACTACAGTCTGGTTTTATGAGCATTCCTCTGACTTTTCTATCATGAATTGGCCACCTAGAAGCTTAAATCCTCATCTTTTGGTTATTTTAAAGAAAAGTGTGAAAGCACATCACTCAGCACTAGCGACCCTTCCGAATGTAATATTCCTAATATTATAATAAATTATACAGTTATATTATTATTTTAACATATGCTATAATATTTATAAATCAAAGTAATTAAAATATGGTATCTTTCACGTTTATTTAGGTGTTCTGTTTGGATATTAAACCCTTGCATTTGGTGGTTGATAGATGGGAATATTTCGGCAGAAAATGTTTTTTTAAAGAGAGCAGCATTAATTACTGGGAAATAAAAGGATAGTGTTTATTTACATACTTAATAAAAAAAAGTTAAGAATTATCATAAACAAAAGCTATAATTTGTAAATATAATGTCTTTGCGATGGTCGCAAAAAGCGTAGACTTTCACGGACATAAGAGCATGCTAAAGACGGCATAATGTGACGTCTTTGCAACATCATGCACGAAGAAGTAGCTACGTCATTACGAAGTTAACGTGCTGCTTGAGTATGTATCGCTGAATCTTCTAGCTCCAGCGGGGTCAGATATGGATTTGACGCATGCACACAAAATGAAGTTTGGGATCTTTAAATCGAAAAATCCAGTCTGCGTGATTATTTGATAAGAGAACATCACTGAATAACATTCTTGCTTGCCTTTTTCTATGTAATATTTAACTGCAATACCATCTTGTTGAAACCAGATTGACATCAGTCATATTGCTATGTTTCACGGAATTGCTATGTTAATAGAAATTTCCATGCATGAGAGCAAAATTGCTTTAATTTAATGAAAACCATCTTTCACACGTAAATTTAAGACCGAGCTATGTTTTAAAACATTGCAGTAGACCTTCTTTTTTTCTGCTTCGGATAGTGACCCACAGCGTATAGTTTATTAAAATAGTGCATTTAAAAAACGTTTATATCTTAATTTTAAAACATTAATTTCGTTATGTTCTCTAATTTTCTGAATTCACCATTAAGAGAAATGAATCTCCTATCAATATTTCCCACGGATATCGTGAAGCAGATCTTTTGTAATATGAAAGAATGCAAAAGAACATACAAATTGCATTATTCTATGAGAAAAAAATCGGTAATAAATAAACAAACTACAAATATAGTAACATAAGGAAAACTAGAAAACTATCTTACCATACTCTTATCATTGACATCGAAAATATCAGATATAAACAGATTAACGTTGATCTGGGTAGGAGAATCTAGACATTAAAATAAATTTCCATTTTCATACATATCAGACATTAAGGTAAGTTTAGTATAAATAAAGTTATCAGAGGATATATTTAAGAAAATTATTACTTTTAACTGAAAGTTACCTGCAGTTCCCAGTCTATGTGGACGCAAACTCGAGTCATAATTCTGAAGTATCTTGTTAAGATGAGTTTTACGGAGGTTAACAATGCTTCCTACAGTCCTGTGAAATGTAAAATAAATTCTACATTTTCGCAAATCAGACATCAGTAATAACCAATAAAATGCATTGTAATTATTTCATCAACTCACATTTGAATAAACGACAATATTAAGAAGCAGTAAAGGAGCTCCATGGCGGATAGTGAAAAATCCAAGCTGCTACCTGAAAAAATATTTTTAAATATGAAAAATAATTAAATAAATATTGAGATCATGTCACTTATTCATTTCTTACCTTATAAATAAATTTTTCTTAATTAAGTTTGCATTCTTAGAGGAAGAAATTAATTTCTTAGCTGCAATCTTATATTAAATTTTGATTCTATGAAAGCGTATTCGCATTTGTCGTTAATAAAATTACTGCAACACCTGAAACGTAGATAAGCATAAATGCCTGAGCAACAAAAAGAATTATCTATCATCCAGTTTTTTTCCTGCTTATCGTGTGATTTTGTGGTGCATTTGGAAATATGTCCGGTTTATATCAAGTGGTCCGGAGTTCGAATCACGGCGAGGGTCACGCTAATTTTTCATGCTTAATGTTTTAAAACCTGTGTCTGAACTAAAATGAAATGGACAATAATTCGCCCACCAGCGATGTAGAGGTAAAATTACTGAACACTGGTAATTCCGACTTGGATTCGATACCAGGCAAACGGACTGGCTCCATAGTGCGTTAGTAGTTTTCCCCATGTGGAGCGTGTATACGACCCAATTTCCCTCAAAAAGACTTCCAAGAAGGCATCCCTTCCCTTAGGCAGATAGCCCTAGTGTGCTTTGCCATAATCTATCAAACCAAACCAAGCGCTCAAAGTATATACAGTTCAAAATTTCTAGTCTGTGTAGGAGAAAACGAAGTGATGAAACATTTGTTCTCGTATTTAACAAATATCCTTATACAAATAAGGCAGAGAGTGTCGTACATTTTTCCATATAACATAAATAACTTAATGAGTTATATAAACAATCACTATACAGGTCATATACAAACTCTATGCGATTATTATTTTAAAACTGACATTTTGCAGCATTATACATATTATGATGCTGCACTGTTAGTTGTGCTGCATACCAAAACATTGAATATAAACAAAGGTATATTAGAAACATAACAGCAACATAGTTATACAAGTGCGTAACGTAATGAGAATTCATATATATATATGCGATATTTTGGCAGTCGTGAGCCTCGGCATCAAAGTTCAGGCATGGCTTTTTGCAGAGTAGTAAGGAGGTATCCAAAGACGACACAAATTGATTTAGCTTTTAATTGCCCATTTTTATTTACTCCAATTAGTAGATCATTTTCCTTTTAGACAGTCCTTAAATTACATATTCATAGCGCTTTTAACTAAGTATGATTGAATTTAAACTTTATGTGTCATAGCTAATTCTAACAAAGGAAGAAAAGATGGACAGGGTAGCGCAGAGTCTTGGAGCAGCGAGATTAGGAAGCAATCTGACTGAAAAATGGTGCGTACTCAGTATTTATAGTAGCGGTTACGTAATAGACTAGCAAATTCTAGAAGGTACTGGTCTAGGGGGAAGATCCTAAATTGCAGAAAATTAATTAAAGGTTGTGCGTTCGCGAAGAGAAAAGCCATCGTATTTCTTATATTTTACATATATATATATGTGTGTATGTATGTATGTATATAAGTTAGCAAGTAAAAGAAAACATTGTAGCGTTTATCTTCCTATCAAGGTCATTGTTTGCGCCATTTTTTCTTTAAGGTTTAGAAAATTTGTATTTTTGATAGTATATTCCTCTAGAGGCTTTTGTTTTCCCATTGCTTCCTTTTTGATGTGGATATGGATGCAATCGAAAACATAGTGGTCCAGACCGCTGATCCATTCAAAACAGTCCTCCTTGAGCTGAAACCGTGGGTTTATTCAGTGCACAGACTATGGTTGTATTGCATGAGGTATGGTATGCTGCAAAATTTTCTTTACAATTTTTCCACACCGCGCTGTCAGATTTCTTGCTATATGTCTACAATTAGCTTACGTAGCTTCTTTTCCATTCGTAAACTTTGCAGTTGCATTGCAATGATAATAATGTCATTCGCTGTAGGCTGTGATGCTGTGAGCGGCTTCATTCTCCATACGTCTATAGATGCGCGTAAAAAAATCTTATACGCAAGGTTGCTTCTTGACGTTAGGAAATTTCCCAATTATACGTTTAGAGCTTGGCAATACATAAAGATAATAAAGATACTGAAAACTAACAGTTTCGTTTTCATTTACATTTTCAGGGAAACTAATGCGTATGTATTTCCATGATTTTTTTACATACCTTGCATAACCATGATGTTACGTGATAAGTTTGTACACTTTTTTGTATTTACTTCTTACATAAAGCAATTTTTTTTAACTTCTACGACGGCTATCTCAACAACTAGTTAACTCTTTCGTGTTTTGTCTTATAAATTACGCACATAATAAATTTATTAAAATAGTTACAATTTACTTTTTTGTCCAAACTTCTGAGTTTTTGCAATTTCTCTTTTATTAAACGCATAAACGAAACTGATATTAAAATTATACAAACTTTATAAAGCAGCCTTACATGATGAAAGCAACCCTTTTACAGGCGCATATTCGTGAATAATGAACCTTGTTAAACAGATATTCCTTTCTTTCTATAGTAAATACAAAAATTTCCATTCAAAGCAGTTGAACAATATATGTTTGTCAAAGGCATGTGTACAACTATTTACGACTTGTATGAAAAGCTATATAAGGGTTATTATAAAATCGGCCTTATTTCTAACATAGAATAATTAAAAATGAAAGTATTGTAAGGGAAAATTTGTATAAACTTCCCTTTGTACTCGCTGTTTGCATCTTAATTTGTATTCTTTATTTCCTTTCCTCAATTAATTTTTTCTCATGGATTAGTGCTGAACAATAGCTAAAGAGCTAAGCGTGTTTATATGAACTGCAAATATTTGATTTTTCTTATTTAGTAATTTGTAATATTGTAAGTACGTATATGTTTCTTTTGTATTTTTTGCTATTTAAAATTTGAATATCATTGCCGTGGATTCGATTCATAAGAGTAATTATCTTATGGAATTTATGAAATTCTTCATCTATAATGAATTAAATTTGTGAAATTTTGAAGAGAACGCCTTTCAAAATATGCGGAACTTCGCGAAACATTTGGCTGTGTTTAAAGAAACAGTGACTGCTTTCGGACGTTTGTTTGGACTCCTGATTTGCAAGCAGTAACAGGAAAGATTGTTTCTTTACACTATGAAAGTTCTATGCCTGCAAGGTTCATTAATAAAGTCAGACCTGCGTGAAGTCAGAGCTTTTGGTTCTATGAACAGTTAACAACTTTCTAACTCCCTATTTTAAAGCAATTTTCGATTATGCTTATTTCGAATACATATTTCTAGGTGCTTTTTTCCTTCGATTTCCTTTATTTTGCAGCTAACTTATGTTCTTGTTCCAGAGAATATTTTAGCAGAAATTTCAGTCATACTGACTAAAGTGGTATTTCATTTTTCTCTATTATATTAATTGCTTTTCTTTGATACTATAATAAAGGTCACGTCATCTTTATGACTGTCCTGTTTATTCAAGAGATCAAAACGGTAACAAACACAGTGTCAAGTATGATCTCTTTGAGTTAAGGGAACTCATCTTTAACAATTAAAGATATGATGGTTGCCAGAGAAGAGGCTACAGCTGTCATTGCAGGTAGGAGGAAAGAAGAAACGCAAACACATCTGAGATGAAATATAAGATGGCCGCAAGTATTACTGATACAAAAAAAATGAATTATATTTAAGACTGCTGGAAGCTAAAGTCACGATTAAAACAGCCTTGGTGATCAGTGCGATGGCGGAGCTGAAAACATTTACTGCCAGTTGAAATGAATGCTGGTTTCATCACTAATTTTCTTTCTAACATGAAGAAGGAAGTAAAGCAGAGGAGGTTAATGAACTGATAATAGGGTGCTATATCGAACGCAATGGACGAGAAAATTCTGAATCAGAAATTTAAGAAAATGTCAATTAATTAACATAACTTTTAACTTTTTTAATTAACATAAGAAAATGACTATCAGCATTATTTATGTTAATTAAAAAAAGTGTCTTTTTAATGAAGAGACTGTTGATATTAACGATAATTTAGATAAATAAAAACAAAATATGCAAAAGAAAATTTTGCAGTCTGGTGCTACTGATTTTATAGTAACTGAAGTCTCTTCTCAGCTTTCCCATTCCACTATTAAGCTTCCGCGTACGAAAACAAAATCTTGGAAAATGTGCCAATCGTAGTTTTAAATAATAGTATGTGCAAATCAGATAATCCTTGTGAACAAATCATTTCATATGGCCTTGCCATTTCGCAAAGAACCTGTAGAGGTTTTATAAACGCCTCAGGCAAAAAAAATAGCCTACGCTAGTGATTTAATGAACGTTCTGCAGTTGGAGTTCTAGGAGAAATTCTTAAATTTTTACCATAAGCTGCAACTTAAAATGCGAAATTAACAGGCATCGAAACATTCGCATGAAAAGATTATCACAGCTTGCCCTCCTAGCTTCCTTCCCTAGAATAGGAAAAATATTTTTTGAGTTTGCTGAATTTTGAAAACGCCGAGAAATGCCCTTAAATCCAATAAACACGCAATATCCGATAATCAAAATCTTAAATCTGCTATAGTTCAAGCTTTAAAAGTGCATCTCACCCTCAAAATATCAACGGAATACACTAATGATATGTGAAGTGTACTCTTCCTGGCAGTTCTGAAGATTGAATGTTACAAAAGAATTGCAGATCTTTCAAAAACACATAAGACTTTCTTTCCTTTGAAACTGCGGGGGGGGGCAGGGGTAACAATAATAGTATATTAAGATGTTTAGAGAAGGTCTTAAGAGACAGTAAGTATTCCACAGTCAAAGTATAGAAGAATAAAAATTATTCGGAAGGTCAAATAGTGAAACTAAAAGTTGGCCATTTCCAAATGCAGGATGTGCTACATCCTGCATTTGGTAGCACCTTCTACGTTTTCCATACATTTTCATTTCACGGTGAAAATAATAGATATTCACAGAATAAGAAACTAATATTTTCTTTTTACTGTGATTTGGAAGTAATGCGACTACTGTCAGAGCTAATAAAGATTCATGCTACAATGGCACTTTTATATGTTGCC